GGACCTCGTGACGTGTCGACCCTTCCTCCAGTCGACCTCGGCGAGAGTGACGTGACCGCCCTGCTCGAGACGGTGACAGAGACGTTCAGCACAACAGAGTTGATGAAGAAGACGTCGGTGCTTCCCGTGCTGCACGCAGGCGAAACCTCGTTCTACACTCTGACGCAGACCTACCACATCACCCGCGTGGTCACCGCCCTCAAGACGATGCCGCCCTACGAGGCATTTTCCTTCATCCCAGAAAACTCGCTGAACGAGTTCAATGGCCAGCTTCTGGCGGAGGGAACCGAGAACGATGAGTCCCTCTTGCCCGGCGAAGTGGAGTATGACGAAAATGGCGAAATTGTTGATACGACAAGTGGCACTCGAGTGCCTCCACCACCAGGATTCCCCTTCCAGGACCCCAACCTTGCAGAATTAGCTGGAGGCCAATTCAATCCCGATGTGTTTGAGAAGCAGCTGCACCCACAACTGACAGCAGCTCTTCAGCATAGGCAACAGATGCAGCAGAAGCAGGGCAGTGCAGCACGACCTCAGCTAAGCTCAGGTCAGCTCGCAGCCCCCGGAGACCCCGCTATAGCAACTCCGAGCCTGACAGCTGAGCAACTGCAGCAGCTGGCGTACCTCCGCCTCATCAACCCCTACGGCTTCGGCGGGTTCCCTCCCGTGCAGCAGCAGCAACAGACCACCGTTACCTCCTCCCCAGTCACCATCACCACCGACATCACCACCACGTCCACCCGCGTCCTCCGCGTCATCTTCAACGCCCGCCCTATCTTCACCACCATCAGCAGCGTCGAAGTCGTCCACACGACCATCACCTCTTTCGAAACGGCAACCGTCACCGTCGCCCCAACCCTCCCCTCCTTCCCCTTCCCCTTCCCCGGGTCTCCCTTCCCGGTGGGCTAAGGAGCCTTGAGAGCGAGCGCGGCCTCAGAGGGCGACGGAGGCGCGGTCTCCGCCCTTGCTCCCGCCCGCTTCCTTGACGCCGAGTGCTGGCACTCTGCACCTAACCTCTACTAACCCCTTGATAGTCTGACAATCAGTGTTCAGGCGTGGAAGGTTATCATCAGTTCTTCATTCTGACTTCCGGCAAAGAGGAAGCAAACGCGGGGGAAGGAAAGAATGAACAGAAAGTGTGATGGGTAAAAAAGACCTTTTTAGTACCATGAAATATACGATAAAACGCTCATTCTTCCCTTCTCCTTTCATCAACTGATAATGCGTCTACTATCCATGAGAGTTTTGTTATTGTAGGATATTGACTACATATAGTAGACTCACAAATGCCAAATAGCTGAAGCATCTCTTTAACGAAGAAAATGGTACTAGATCACGTAAAGATCACACTTTGTCAATTAATCATTATTCGGTGTCACAGTTCGTACAGCGAATGACATCCAATGCTGATTATTCTGATACTGGGCAGGTGATCAATATAATAAACGGATAAAACAAAAAAAAGCCATTAGATTCGTTATATGTTAAATACTGGGTGACCAAAAAGGTTGTTGAGTGCATTGAACAGTCATCAAACTCCGTCGTTGTTTCTTTGTGGGATTTAAATAGCAAAGAATTGTCGACAGGGTTTCTGACTGACTGTTTCTTTAACTCTTTGATAGTAGATTGTCCTCTGTTTCTCATTTTGAATTTGAGCTGGTGGATAAGTAGGTTGTTTGATAGCTATACTATTAGGTTATTATTCAGATAGACAAAACAAATGGATCTGTAGATTAGCTAATTGAAGCAACATGTAGAAACACACACACACACACACACACACACACACACACACACACATACACACACACACACACACACACACACACACACACACACACACACACACACACACACACACACACACACACACACACACACACACACACACACACTATAGTTATTTCATTCATTTTCTTCTCATTATTTTCTTGATAATAGTATTTCATGAAAAAAAAAATAGGTATCATCTTTTCTTCAGGGAATTGGTCCATTAAAAAAAAAAGTTTCAGAATAAATATAAACTTCTGCTTTCTGCAATCCGTCTTATTGGTAGCACGGATATCCTTAAGACAAAATTCCACTCATTCTTTAAAATATCTTTATTTAGAAAAAAAAGAGAAAAATAAATGCCTCCTCTCGGTTAGTTTGGAAACGTGGGTGTAACTTCCGTAAAATAAATTATAATTTTACTCCAATATAGATTCTCTCTACAAATGACTCGCCTTGGATGTTCATTTGTATCGTCGTTAATGTGTGTTCTAGATTTTATTATGATATTAAAATATTTTATGAAGATTAGGAGTGAAGAATGTAAATAGGAGAATGGGTATCTTGTAAATAGATGTAAATATAGATAGGCCTCTCTCACGCCCATTTGATTATTCTTCATGAAAGATAGCTAACTAATAAACATTTCGTAAAAAAAAATGTTTTTTATTCTACCTAAACCTATATCCTTTATTGTTATTATGTTATTCAATTATCATCTTTATCATCAGGATTATCATTATCGCTTCCACCACTGTTATTTAAAGATTCATAATCATCATTACTGAAAATAACGTATTCATACCCATAATTGCCCTAATTACCATTACTATCATTACTGTGAATATCATTACTACTGTTGCAATGGTTGGTCATTATTTTCCACGATCTGCCTAAATGTTATTGAATCTGAACAAACCAGGGCTCCACATATTCGTATTTATAATTCTTCTTTGTTATGTTCATTAAGGCGGATTATTCTTGCAACTTTATTTCAAATATCATGTCTGAATTCAGACTTATCATTAAACATTCTCTGTTAAAATTAACAAAACTTTGAAATCTACGAATTAAAAAAAAAAAAAAACGCCAAATATCAATCATCAACTTCATGTCTTGCATTACGATTTGACTTCATTCTGCTTAAATCAATTTTCCTTTTATCTGTATACCATGGCATATGCTTTATATTTTAACATATATCATAATACAAATAAATTAAAGACATTTATTTGTTCATGCGTCCATGAGTCTGTTACTATTTCTTCGTCTTCAGCGACCAGACCATAATGCATTATTTTTGAAAAAGATCGATACGTATTTTTCCCTGTTTCTGTTTTTTTCTCTCCCATCTCCCGTCACGGAAATATAGGTCGTGCAAACTCAATAATGTCGTCAAATGATAAAAATAATAATAATAAAATAAAAGGAACAGTATCTTTGAACATGATTAAATCAATATTCATATAGTTTAGTTTATTATTAAAATGTATG